GATCATCAGTTTTTGCTTAGGACCTTAGGCCTATCACCTGTAAACTATGAAGTTGAAAAAGTCGTACCTAAGTAAAGATATAAACTTAACCCTCCAAGTGTCCATAGTTTTGGTCTTAATGGTCGCCCATTTATTGCGCAATCGCAGGGTTTTATTAAAATGTATCTTAGAAACTTAAAAACAATGTACCTAACTAAAGTACTGTTTTACACAACATTACAAAACATTAAAAAAAAATGTTCAACAATTTTTGTGGGGTTAACATTTTTAAAAAATTATAAAATAAATGAAAAAAATTTATGTTTGCGCTCAATAAATTGTTATAATTTATAGGTCTACGAATATTTTAAAATAGCCACTTTGTTCAGAATTTTATATGGATTCCAAAAATAAAATAAAGGAAGTAGGTTTGCAAATAAATAAGTTATGGGCAAAAACCAGATTTCGGTACATAGCGTTTAGCTAAGAATGCATAGCCTAACCATAACTAGGAATCTGGCTGATAATTTACATCAATATCACTACCTACTTCTTCAGGATCATCAACCAGCCCTTCAAAATCACTTAAATCTTATAATGCACCACGTATTTCACTACTTGTGATTTTTAACCCTAAAACAATGATAAACGTAATAAAACACATCAGTCATCGGTGCGAGGTTAACCAAGTTGTTTAAAAATACGCATGTCAGCTGTCTGCTACAATATTTTCGGAACTAAAATGAATAGCATCTAGAAACAGACATCAGGAGAAAGCTCAGAATATGCCAAAAACAACGATACCAATCTCGATCCAGTTCAATCTGATTCGGCCAGTCCCAGAGCCTTCGCCGTAAACGATATTTGTGGGTCGCAAAAGCGACGCATGACACCACGGCGGGTGTGTTGTGCGTCAATTACGCGACGCTTAACACTCAGAGGGTTGAGCTATGTTATGAAGACTAAAAGGCCTTAATAAAGGTCGCAGAGGCGATTCTAGTGGGATTTTCAGTATCTAGAAGTGGATTTTCAGTACGGTATCAGTATTCTAGTGGGATAGTGGGAAATTTCAGTATCACTTATGTTATTCAATGCAAAAAAATTTTGAGGTCTAGTGTTAAAATTTTGATAATGTATTAAACAATTTGTCTATTTTTTATTATATAACTAGGCCTATGTATGTATATTTGTATATGCATTTCACATGACATTATTGAATATTTGATGTTTTAGACCTAAGTTGTGACGATTGTCAATAGACTGTATTTTTGTGTTTCAATGACAATAAATATTCTTGATTCTTGATTAGGCCTACCTCAAGAGCATAAGTACCTAAGTAAGTTAACTTAAAGTAAGTTTTCAAGTTAATTATAGGCCTATCGATTACAGACGTCACATTAAAATTGTATTTTCCACACTAAGTTTAGGCCTATTTATTATTATGCTAAATAACCTCCTGAATTTAAAAAATGGCTGTCGTTTTCCATAGAAAAGTCAAGTAAAACACAGAAAGTCGGAAAAACAACATAATTATTTTAATCAAAACATTTAAGTTACTTTTAAGGCATTTAAAATAATTGTGAGGAATTTTATGCTGAATCAGCTTATGAAACTTAGGCCTATTAGTTATTTTTCCATGCAATAAATATTAAAAGAACCATTATGGAAAAAATGGGTACTGTAAAACACCAAGGATTATGGGCCTAAACAAAAAATTACTACACTAGCCTACGTTCAAACCGATTACCGGACGCGTATCCTCTGTGTGTAAGTTATTGTTATTCATATGATAAGTTAATAGCTTATATCGCAGGTTCTCAACCTTGTAGGCTACCTCGAGTTAAGTTAAGCACTTTACAAATAACGTACTAAACGCGCTAACTTATCATCGAAAAATATGAAAAAATGTTAGCTCACATGGAAAAAACTTGTAAGTTCTTAAAAAAATTAAGCGTAGAATTCCGCACAGTTTAAATAACACTAACTTAGGCCTAAGTTGGGTAGGTAACTTACAGTTCCTTAACTGGGCTATGCTAATATTGATTGAAACTATCGATTCGATTAGTAAACCTTCATGCGATTTTTTCACCATCAGCAAGCTTGGTTGGTTAGGTTAGGTTATGATGGTTTAATTTTATAAGTTAGATATATTTAAAAATGCCAATTATTAATCAATATTTTCAAATCGATAGTTTTAATCGATATTTAGCATAGCCCAGTTAAGAAACTGTACCCCCTAAGTTACCTTAAAAGTGTGTTTTGATTTTGAAGTTTAGGCCGAGGCCTCTAGGTCCTTTTTCTAGTTTACAATGTTTATTTGAGTTTTCCAGGCAAAACGAGTCATTTTTTAATACAGGACGTTATTTGGCATCATAATACTGGTGTACAAAAATAGGCGGGTACGGTAGTTTCTTAACCCTCCGAGTGTCCATAATTTAGGCCTTAATGTCCACCTATTTTTGGCCCCTTTGCAAGGTTTTATTAAAACGGATCTGAGAAGCTTAAAACAATGTTAATTCTAATGTTCTATATACCATTTTGTTTGGAAAATCATGGGCTTCAATATTATATATAAAACATAAGGAACATTTTTTCAAAAAAAAATTTTTAGGTAAAAAAAAATATAATTTCGAAAATTTTTAAAAAAAAAATAAGTTCGCGCTCAATGAAATTGTAGGGAAATTATAGGCCTATATTTGAAAATAGCCACTTTGTTCTAAATTTAATGAGGATTACAAATATATAATCATATAACGAGGTAAGTTATCAAATAAATAAGTTATGAGCGAAAAACGGATTTCAGTACATAGCGTTTAGCTAAGAATGCATAGCCTAACCATAGCTAGGAATCTGGCTGATAATTTACATCAATATCACTACCTACTTCTTCAGGATCATCAACCAGCACTTCAAAACCACTTAAATCTTCTTATAATGCACCACGTATATCACTACTTTTGATTTTTAACACTAAGTTAAAACAATGATAAACGTAATAAAACACATCAGTCATCGGTCCGGGGGAACCTAGCTGTTTACAAATACACGCACATCAGCTGTCTGCTACAATATTTTCGGAACTAAAATGAATAGCGCTTAGAGACAGACCTCTGGAGAAAGCTTAGAATATTACGGAAAGAACGATACCTAACTCGATCCAGTTCAATCCGATTCAGTCAGTCATAGAGCCTTCGCCGTAAACGATGTTTGTGCGTCTTAAACTCGACGCGTGACCCTACACAAAGTGTGTTGTGCGTCTTAAACTCGACGCGTGACCCTCGGAGGGTTAACTGGGCTACGCTCAATATTTTCAATTAGATAGTTTCAATTGATATTAGCGTAGCAGTAGCACAGTTAAGAAACTGTACCCAGGCTACTATTTAGGCCTACTGTAAGTTAAATAGGCAAGTAGGAAGTGCCTTATATAACTAGGCCTGTGCTAAGTTTAATGACAACCAGAAACATGAATCCTGATTAAATGTTCTGTGGTAGAGGTGGGGAGCAAATAACGCAGCCGTTATTTAATAACGGTTATTGGATGATAACTGTTATCGGCAACAGCTGTTATCGAAAACTAGGAGTTATCGATAACCGTCAAAATAACTGTCTGCTCTGCTGTGAAATTGTTATTTTTTAGTGAAATGAAATGAAATGAAATGATATTTTATTTCCCATTAATTATTTACAGACAAGTACATTGTATTTTTTTTCTTCTTTACTTAATATGAAACAGCAATATATTACAAACTAGATAACAAAACAAAAATTATATACTGTAGAAATAAGTAAATAAAAGTGTAAAAAAAAAAATACATTCTTTAAGAAAGGAAAAAGTCTACATAGGCAGGGCCTGTGCGTAGACTCGAGTTGCGAAAAGATTAATTTAAATGGGAAGTAAAAAATATATAGGAGAAAAAAATCGTATAATTTAAACTTTTTTTATTTTTCTTGCTTAGTAACGGAGCGTTTGCCAATCGGTTTTAAATATTTTTATTTGTGTATTTTTGACATTAACTAACATTTTGTAGCAAATAAGATAACCACTTAGCTGTATATAATATCGGATTTGTTTAATAATCTCATAAAAGTAAAGGTTATTGCCACTCAAGACTGTTGCTGTAGCGCAGCAAACACATACACGGCTGCCTAACAACTAGAGTTATTAAATAACTGCGTGGTGTGGCAGCGACGGTTATCCAATAGGCACAGGCAGCCATACGGCTGATCGACAACTGGAGTTATTAAAATAACTGCGAGGCAGCGACGGTTATCCAGTAGGCACAGGCAGCCATACGGCTGATCGAAAACTGGAGTTATTAAAATAACTGGGAGGCAGCGACGGTAGCCGTCTCTCAAACTGCCGCGTAACAACTGTGGCGCAGTAGATAGCCATACGGCTGCTCGACAACTGGAGTTATCCAATAACTGCCTAGTGGCGACGGTTATCGGGCAGCCTGAGTTTCTTGCCAGTTGCCAGTACTGCTCAGCTGTCAGCTCGGCGCTCGGCTGAGAGTTATTTGATAACCGTTATTTTAAACAGTTATCGTAACACAGCTGCTGGGCAAATAACAGCTGGGCATTTCTGACAGTTATCCCCACCTCTATTCTGTGGCACATGAGACGATGGGTTTATTGGCTAAATGCTATCGCGCATTTTAGGACAGGCCTTTGGGGGCCTAGGTGGCTAGAGGTCACAAAGGCCGCGACCAAGTTAAATAAGTTAGGTCCAATCAAACTTAATTAAGTTAAGCAGGAAAAGCTCTTGACTGAAAAAAATGATTTTGACTTTCTGTCATTACAGTCCTATTCGATTGCAATTAATAAAAAGCCAAGCCATAAACTAACAGTTAAGTTATACCAATTTTAAAGGCGAGAATGTTATGACTAGCCTACCCCAGGAGTAAACTTCGTTGTCTCTAGATGTAAAATACTTGAAATTAAAACAAATTCAAACCTCGAAAACAACCCAATAGGAAAATTAATAAGTTTTAATTGTTATACTTAATAAAGTGTTACAGTACCTGGTTACAAGTCTATGATGAAAAGAAAATATTCTCAACGAAGTCTGAATTTTCTTCGTTTTCACGTTAATATGGTGGTCTGGAGGACAGAGAAAAATAATGCCTCCTTGATCTAGTTAGTATAGTACTTATATTTCTAAAAGGATAACCTTTTTTACATGTATAAAACTGTATTACCTTTAAAGATAGTATAATAAATTAAATGATTGATTTAGTTTGAGCATTATTTAAACATTAAAAAAGTTATTCACCTACTGTTAAATATTTAAAATGATATCGATTATGAAACAAGAATCAATGTTTTATTCCAGTAGAAAATACACATAACGTCCATGCATATTATGGATACGTCAACAAAAAGTGGAGGAATCGTAGATAAAACATGCTCCGTTCCGTCATAGATAAAACCATAGATAAAACAGAGGAGTATGTTTTGGTTTTATCTATGATAAAACCATAGATAAAACATACTCCCTTAGATAAAACATACTCTACGTGGAATACTACATGCTGGAAAACACAAGTCAGAGATAAATACAGCACATCAAATTAGTTTTTGTGGACAGTTAAATAGTTATCAGCTTTAAAAAATAGATAAAACATACTCCCTTTTTAGTTGGTTAGTCTATATGTTAAAAAGCTATAAGCCTATATTAATAATAAGTAAGTAAGTTAATAAGTAAGTTTTGAAGCTCCTGTTTCGTATCTAGTTCATGTCCGGTGACACTGATCGCTAGTGTCGAGGAACTTTTCCTATTACCGTGTTTTAGGGTTTCAGGATTTGTGCTTTACTGTTAGGTTAGAATAGAATAGAAGAAGTGCTTTATTGATTTCATTCATAGTAGTACAGTACATGAAATCAAATACAAATACAGTCATTTTTTTCCCTTATAGCGCAATTTTTTGTCCTAGGACGCTAGGCACGAGCCTGGGATTGTTTTTCACATTACTTCAGACTAGACCTAGGGGTTGCGGCATTATCACTTAGATAAAATCCATTGGTGATTTGGCGGGATTTGAGGCCGGGACGGGGACAGCTCACTTACTCTACAGATCATAGACTATACGAGCTTTTTAAATAATATTGAAGGTTCACTTGCACTACAGGCTCGTATACTATACGAGCCTATCGAAAATAAAAAATAAATGAAGAGGGTTCACTTACTCTACGAATCATTGTGCCTATGAGCCTCGTGTATTATATTTAAAAATACAGTAGGAAGGTTCGCTTACTCTACAGATCATAGTGACTATGAGCCAAGCTTACGAATTATTTGATAATTTAGGAATCGGCTCGTATAGTATACGAGCCAAAATAATGAATAATATAAATTATAGGAATAGGCTCGTATACTATACGAGCCTGCAGAAAAATATTAGATGGCTCACTTACTCTACAGTTCATTGGCACTATGATCCGTAGAGTAAGTGAACCCTCTTCAAAATATTAGATGGCTCACTTACTCTACGGCTCATTTAGCTACTCGTTGCGCGGTTTGCGTTCGTGAAACTTTAGGCGCTATGCCCGGCTTCGACTGCTGCGACTGCCTACATAAGTGTATTGCATCACCTCAATTATTTATTAAAACGAAATAAATATGTATGCACAAGTAAATTTATTACATTTTTGGACTGAATACTTTAAAAATGGAGGGAGCATGACTTTTATGTTTAATTAAATTAAACGTTATAGAATAAAACATACTAGTTAATGGCAAAAATTTATAAAAACAGTTCACCAGTTTAGAATATTTCTCAGTTACTGTGAGTTGCAAAAAAAGTGTATACAGAAGCATTTGTGTACACAGAAAATATAGAGGACTAGATGTATACAGAAGATATATTAAAATACAATACGCACACAACTATCAACGTTTACATATGTAAAATTAATGAATTTGTTGTATTGAGTATTTTTAACATTATGACGAAGCCTTAACAAAACATATTTTTTTAAGGAGTTCTAGGGTGTTGAACTATATTGTATTTATCTTTTGTGGAAGATTCTGTCCACGATTTATGATTGCTAACAATTTAATACAAGGATAAGTCTCTGTACGTGAAGACTAAAAACACGAAACAAACTTTAAAGTGATAGAAAAGATTTGATCAGGAGCTGGCGTTTGATACCTTTTGGGAATAAATATAGCCTCTACTTCAAAGGTATACATGGTGAGGTAGCCTCTGGAAGTCCATCTTCAGGTTAACAAAAACGTCAATAGGTCATCTAACCAATTTGGTTAGATGACCTATTGACGTTTTCTGAAGATGGACTTATTTTCAAGTCCGAAACTATAGTAGTGTAATACTGAAGAAGGATCACTTGACGAAGCCAGGTAACTTAAACCATTTAGCTTAAAGTTATACAAGTTGGTTTCACACCAACATTTCATGCACATATGAAATCTATATAATTAATACGCGAACACGAAGTTTGTCGGTTGAATCCTCCACCATTTCTTACCCGATTTTATCCACTGACGTCTCATTGGAAAGAGCGTGTTGCGTAGATTTGCAAACTGGCCTAAATTTTTTGAAAAAGTCCCTTGGCCTCTGCCACAGTGGCTTTTCAAGTTCCCATGTTATCCTTTCGAAGAACATAATATTGTTTACATCAGCTGTTTAATTATTTAATTGTGTTCTTTGTTTTTCAATTCAACGAAACGCATTGGTTACATTAACTGATTTTGTGGAAATTAAATATCTATCTATATATTAATTACGAAAGCCGATTCTTTGCGTCAAAATTGTGGGCGACTGGGTAGTCGTAGAACGACGGGAGAGGGTTCAAATTAAAGGTCTCGATCCCGGAAGAATAGTGAAATTCCCCAAATTTTAACACAAAATTTGATAAAACCTTTGACTTAGTCAATAATATAACGTAAAATGTTCTCCATAAGAATAGCATTAGAAGCCATTTGTCTGTTGATTTTTGTTTACCTCAATACAGCTGATCGTGATTCATCTAAGCCAGTAAGCAATATTACATTTGGATTTAACTCATTTGCCAGTAAATTCTGCAATGTACTGTATACTATATAAAACCAGGGATGACGTTACCTACAATTGAGACTTTTGTCGTTATGTCTTAGAATGTTGAAATTAATTTTACTGTGCAATTTGCAAATTTGTGTATTTGTATGTAAATTAGCCAAGCGCATGAAATTTAGTAGAATCGTGGGAGATGGTTAAAATCAAAGTAAATGGAAGTAGAATGGCTGAAACATTTAAGATTTGGTTTCTTTAAACATATGTTCACGAAGTTTACAAAATTATTTTACTTTGATTACATTTCTTCACATTAGTAGGTTATTGTTGTGCTGAAGGAATGTTTAACATGAAATAGCCCCATTGACTAAATAATCAACGATGCAAGATTAGTTAGAAAACTTCTGTTTTGTTTTTATTTCAAAACATATGTTGAAAATTTATTCAAAACTTTTGTTTTAAATTTCATAACATTTAATTTGACACGTAATTGTAGTGTTTAATCTATGATTTTATCGAGTGGAATAACCTTAACAGTTACTCTAGAGAATAACCTGGGAATAAAATTTGAAATAGGTTTGTACAGGCAATACATATATTCCTTTCATTAATTACACTATAACAAATTCCAATGGGCGGAAAAATAAAATTGTTTGGAGTAGATTTTAACCAGGTATCTACTGTCTGTTGCTCCAAGGAAAAAAGGTTAAAATAATATAGCCCAACATGCATTGTATATATATACAATCTATATAGATAGTAAAGATAGAATCTATAACAGTAAACCCTGGAGGTAGTTTCCGATTCTTTATGTTTCACTAACCAAAAATATGTACCTATATCAATGCTGATGAATTTGTTTTCTTGATTGGTTTCATTAACATGATAATGGAACCCTAACCAATGGCAAGTAATCAGTCGATGATTCGCTTTTTTAACTGTAGGCTAAATAAATAATATAAACGGTAAAATGTTTTCAAACAAAATTTACATCCATTGAATGAAAAATAATATACTATTAACATGACTATAGCTGATGTGGCTTAGCTGTCGGCTATCTGTACATTGCATCATAACATCAGACAGCGCTGTGTTATTAACTTAAAAATTATAACGGATTAGCAAATAAATACTTTACTATAGTCTTAACAAACTATGAACCCATTGAACGTTTAAATTGGCCTATTTTAAAGAGTGTATAAAATCAACCACAGCTTTAGGAGGAATACCACCACATAAGCTGACACAGAGAGTAGTTTATATTTTATGTTGATCAGAAACGAAACTATAATCAACTATATCAACTATAACTTATAGGGCAGCCTTTACACTAATTCAGTTGTGCCTTTACAAAAGGAGTAGAGCTATAGGTCTAATATTAGAAATAATAACTGGGCCAGGGTACTAATATGAGTACATGTAGTATTGTAGCACTGTATCGATTCTGACACATAGATAGTTTTATTCTGAGTTTGTTTAAATATTACAATAGTTTGTTTTACATTTGAGCTTTTTAGGGACTTATGTCCCTACAAGCCACTAGTTTATCAATATAAAGCCCAAAGTACACATGAACTTTTGTGAAAACTACAAGTCATACCCCCATAAACCATATACTTAAAATGTTCGTCATGACGAGAAAACTAGCGCAAAACTATCCATTATTTCATAAACTGCCCTTAAAGGTCGTAATTGCTTTCCAAGGAAACATAGGAAAGTCATAGAACGCCACCAAGCAGCAGAAATCGAGATTTTTTAAAAAATATTATCGTTATCATCCTATATAAAAGAAGAACACCTACAATATGAAGATTCCCACAAACAATGAACAAGGATGTTATCGAAAGTGCTACTATTTTGTAGGAAACACGGACTTAACTTTATGATGATTTGCAAAGGAAACCCCTCTAAGGCTGAATTAAACTGGTACGGCAAGGACATTATATATGTTTTCATAAAAGTCAAGTGATTTTAAAATAATATGACTACATCCAAGAAACCTTATTAAAACTTGCATTGAAGGATTCGCATTATTCACATTCAAGGGAAACAAAAACCCATCTGAACAACAGTAGGCCTTACAATTCTGCATATTTTCAGGTAAATATAACTTACG